GTATCTGACAGACTCATTTGTGAAGCAGGATGTACACAAGGCCAACAGTTCGACCTCACATTTGGTGAGAGTAGTTCATGTACCAGAAACACCTGAATTCTACTAGTGTCCTGTCATGATTCAGGATTTTAAATTCTGGAAATTGTTCAGGTTTTTTGGAATTCAGCTGTCCATTCTTCTTGACTGTGTGTGTGGCTTCATCTCGGCATCCCATTCTTCTGTGCATCCCTCTATTAAATGCCAATCTACCATTGAGAGGTTAGACTCTATCAGCTTAATTACTCTTTCAAGAATAACTGTTTCAGCTACTGTTCCAATGCACACCAGAAGTCATCAGTCCACTGCCTGTTCAGCTGCCTTTGAAGAAAAGGCCACTGTACCTTTTCTGGATTGCAAAGGCCACTTCAGGGATGGTGCCATATTGTCGTGTGAAGTTCAGAATCTTGGCACATTTAGCTGATGACCTGGGCCATGCAGTACCTAACTCCAGGCTTCACCAAATGTGCAGGGTCAAAGACGTTCTTGATTTCTATAATGTTCCCAGAGTTCAAGATAGATCTAAATTTGATGAACTCGTTGCCAGTAATTTGCCTCCCAATTTGAAAATCAGTTGGGGTTACTGAGCATTTCAACAGTTGACTGCATTGAGATCTTGTTCTCCTCACTACAGTGGCTGACAAACCTTGTGATATGGTATCCATCAGAACTCTTCTCTAAACCTCCCTTTCCTTTCCTTTTTTTCCCCCTGTAGAAGAACACATCTTTTTTCTCATGGAGAATCAACAAAGAAAACATTTTCACATTTGCTAAAGCTGTTTCTCCCCAATAAAATCAACTGTTGATAATTAAAAAAAAAAGGAGGCATCAGAAGATGCCCTTTTTACGGCCACAACCACACTTGTTTTGGCAAGAATCCGTAGTCCTTTGTTTTGTGTCCTCTCTGTCCTGTTTATCAGCAGTTGATTCGAGGATACTTTGTTGTCCAGTGGCTAACTTTTGCCACAATGAAAGTTAACTCCATATGCAGTTTCTTCAATGCCCATATTTTCTCTGAAGTAGATTGGTACTGCCAGGAGCCAACATGCCTCATAA